GCCCAGCAATTTAGTCCCTCAGGGAGTTTGGATGTGTCTATGGGGCTTCCATGACCTTTCCTTGTACAAGTTGTGCTAGTTTCCCCTCTATTGTGTACTGTCTCACCCTTCATAAGGTGATTTATCAACAGCTTCTTCATTAACTCTTTTGCTAATAAAGATAGTTTCATTAAAGCAAGCCCCACTGAGCCTCCTGTTTTGGGGTGGGAGAACTGTGGTGAACACATTGTCCTTAATTGTTCCTGGCTCTGTAGAACCAGAAAGACAGCTGGTGCATAGCCTCTCACTAGCACACCTGTAGTGAACCAGTCACCTCTGAACTCAGTGGCATGAAGGGGAAGGTGCTCTGCCTGCTCTCCCTTCTGCTTCTTTCCCCTCTAAGCAGGTGGGTTCTTTAGGGAGCTCTTGGGTTTGCTCCGTCAGTCCTTAAAACAGCTGGGACAGGAGTGGAGGGAGGAGTTGAAAGAACATGGACTCCGGTGCTGGACTAATTTTAAGCATTCCCCCCTCCCTGGGGGATTTTTTTTTTTTATTGTGTTAAGTATATAACAACACATTTTCTATTTCAACATTATCTACATGTGCAACTCAGTGACATTAATTATGCTCATCACGTTGAGCAACCATCACCACTCTCCAATTTTTTCCATTATCCTTAACAGAAACTCAGTGCCCCCAGGCAGACTCTCAGGTCCCAGATCCCATGATTCTGGTTGATAGATTAGTAAATCTGCTTTTTTTAAAGCACCTCAGGTGATTCTGAGGCAGAAGGCCCAGGAAAGAGCTGTTCCATTCTTCCTGGCAACTTTATCTGTCTTTATGCTGTTAGTACCTCTGTAGGACTCCCAGATCGCTTTTACCCAACCCTTCTGCATTTTAGACGTCAATTTCCTGCCAAGACAAATCTGGAAATAAATGCCATACCCAATGACTAGGGCACTCTAGCAATGGTATTCCACAGTCTGCGTTTTTAAGACTCTGTTCAAGTTATTCTACAGCACAGTGGTGTTTGAGAGCCATGGTAAGAGAGAATAGAAGAGGTACAATGGAAGCATCTGGACCCACATTTCTGTTTGTCAAAAGTAGGCAAAGGAAAGTAGGTGAAAGAAGCAAAGGAAGCAGAGACTTTTGTGAAGAGGGGTATCCAACATTACAGAAGTTGAAAAGGATGAGGTTGGCTATAACAGACCACCAATTATGGGTAGAAGATGACTTTTGAGAGCACAGTTTAAATTCACTGACAGAAGTGAACACCAGGTGTAACAAGACTAAGGAGTGGGCTATGAGGATGAGGGCTGTCTGCAGAGATGACGACTGTCGTCCATACTTTCAGTGCTGTGGAACCGTGACATGAGTGGGCAGTAGGCTCACGGGAGGTTCTGTTGCTTATTTCTTAAGGTTGGGGAGACATGAATGTATTTGTAGATTGAGAAGGGAGCAGTAAGGAAAGTGGCAACAAAAGAAAGCAAGAGAGAGGTCCAAGTTCCTAGGGAAGGCCTTTTCTTCTACTGTTTTGTGTGACACCCAGACTGACCCACTGACTAGAACTTTTCAGTAAAATCTGATTTAGAGGTAATTATTTAGACAGAGGAACCCTGGTGGCCCAGTGGTTAAGAGCTCTGCTGCTAACCAAAAGCCTGGCAGTTCAAAGCCACTAGCCGCTCCTTGGAAACCCTACGGGACAGTTCTACTCTGTCCTATAGGCTGACTAGGAGTTGGAATTGACTCAACGGCAACAGGTATTTAGACAGAGGTTGGCAAACTTTTTCTCAAAGGGCCAGAGAGTAAATATCTCAGGCTTTGTGGGCTCAGAGGCAAAATAGAGAACATCACGTGCATAGTTATACAACCATTTAAAAATGTAAACACATTCTTAGCTTTGGGGCTATTTAAAAAAAAAAAAACAGGTGATGGGCTGACTTTGGCCCATGGGCCATAGTGTGTCAACCGGATTTAAACCATGGGCCGGTGCTTCTATTTGAGTAGAAGTTATGAGAGTTTACTTTTTTCCTTGAAACAGATGTTTCATCTCCAAGGAGATGTTACATTTGAACCCCTCACGTCAAATCACACAAAATCAAATCACAAGTAAAGAAAACACAGCTGTCCCCGCTTTCCTCTTGTATCTGCACGGTCTTCCCCGTCTCTTTATTCTCACCTTTCCTGTGCTGTTTTGTTTTAGGTGTTCCTGTATAAACCGGGATTTAAAACGTTTCTTTTGCCTCATCTGAACATCTTTGACTTTTAATGGTTGACTCTGACAGATTTACACCTACAATTACCAATCTGTTTGGATATATTCCTACCTTATTTTGTGTTTTACAACT